TTTGTTTGAAGGTGATTGACAATGTTTCATGATGAATTTCACTAGTTCGGACTTCCATTGTCTACTATATAAAATGATTTGAAATCCCTGAAACAACTAAAAAAGGAGAATTGAAAATGAATAGCTGAAAATAACAATTATATTAACCAAAATAAACCTGATTCCTCCGAGAGATGACTATTTATAGGTCGTTCGAGTACTTTCACTTATCCACGCTTTCCATTTTCTGCTTCACTGGTTCCGTGGGAGATGACCGTTTTGGTGGGAGTTGGCCATTTTTCGTTTGATGATGGGTTTCCATATGTTTCGTATTTCTACGCTGGCCTGGCTGAATACGTTGTTGGACAACATGTATGCGGCTTCCTTGAATTTTATCCTAAACCAATGTTCCTCTCTGTGCAAGATATCAGCTTGGGACCACTCGATGTTGTGTTGATGGGTCCAAACATCTATTCTACTCCATTAACATCTCCATTAACATCCATAGTTCTCCTTCGTATTCTACATTTCATTACGTTTTGCATTACATTTTAGTTTTTGAGTGTATTTCATCGAATTTCGGTAACCACATTATTTTGATTTATTTTATCTTAATTGTTGCAATGAACTCGAAAGCGATAACATATTTGAATAGAGAATAAAGATACCTTTCAAACGATATATCACAAACCTACACTTCCCATTTAAAAAACTGGGAGTTGTACCTGTCATTCGAAGGGGGTTGAAGGTGGGGGTGGCATTTTTCAATGTCAAACTATAATTTACATTCTACGAGTTTCAGGATTTATTTTAATATGTACAGTATCCGAAATAATGATTTTATTCCATTGGGCTTTTACACACTGTATAATACTTTGACTGAACCATATGACCTCAATCTATAAAATGTATTTCGTTGGTTATTAGGCTATTGAGTTTTATATAAATCAAGTCTTATGACTGTACTATGTCCTGGTTTTTGTATTCAGCTTCCCAAATCTATTCATTCATGATTAGTAAATTTATGAGAGTAGCACTTTATTTCTCACAATTCGATTTCCAGATATCGCCATCGCTTCCGAACATAACCACAATGATGTGTGGTTCTTGTTCGAACGAGAATGCTTTCAAGAACACTTTCATCGCATATAAAAGGAAAATGAGAGGAGAAGATGCTGATTTCACTGATGAAGAAAAGAAGACGGCAATGGTGAATCAACCGCCTGGATCTGCTAAACTTTCAATTCTGTCGTTTTTTGGAGCCTTCCATGGAAGAACCCTGGGAGCCTTGTCAACCACGCATTCAAAGGTACGTGAGCATGCTTAAAACGGCAAACAAGTGAGAGACACGAAGTTTTTTTAAAAAAAAAGCTGAGTGTTCAAATTTCGCTCGTTATATACATTCAGTTAACGATTTTTTTATGTTGGTACATTCCTTTCGAATATATGTTGATTATCAGCTATTCAGCGTGTTCATTTTGTTGGTGACAGGCATGAAAGTGTTTTGCGTTTTCGGCGATTTTCTGTTATCGAGAAAAATGGATTTGCATAAAATTTTATGCTGAATAGGAATTACGTGCTCAAAAGCAAAATGCTGACAGAATTATACGGTGATTGTACTCTTAGTCAGAAAAATGTTCCCAAGTGGTATAAACCTTTCACAGAAGGTCCAGGTGTAAATGACGATGCTCGCCCTGGACGCCCCGCCCGAGCACATAAACAACCGATGGAAATATTGAGAAAGTGGAGAGAATTGTTATGAAGAATCGTCGAATCACTAATGATGGGGATGTCGGCATATCGGTTGGCTCATGGGCGCCTTCTCCACCCAAAAACTCAGGGATTACGTATCCCATCCTCGGCGGCAGGGTTATATAGCTCCTTCCCAACCTGCTAACGAAGTGGTGGAAGTGACAGTTCTACCACCCGTTGGCGCGGCTGGAGAAGAGATTCGCATCATGCCACCAATGGAGTCAATCAGAACACGCAGGGCGCTCCACAGGATTATATATTTCATTTGTTGAAAACTCAATATACATATACATATATAATATAATGATACTATATCTTGAAAACAAGAGCTAATATATAATTTTTATGGTCACTTTCGGTTTTAACACGTGGAAATACAATAAAATCATCTAATTTCAACCCCGTAACAAAAACTTTGTTGTGTTGTGATCAGCTATTCAGCATGTTCATTTTGTTGGTGACAGGCATGAAAGTGTTTTGCGTTTTCGGCGATTTTCTGTTATCGAGGAAAATGGATCAAAGGATTTGCATAAAATTTTATGCTAAATAGGAATTACGTGCTCAAAAGCAAAATGCTGACAGAATCATACGGTGATTGTACTCTTAGTCAGAAAAATGTTCCCAAGTGGTACAAACCTTTCACAGAAGGTCCAGGTGTAAATGACGACGCTCGCCCTAGACGCCCCGCCCGAGCACATAAACAACCGATGGAAATATTGAGAAAGTGGAAAGAATTGTTATGAAGAATCGTCGAATCACTAATGATGGGGATGTCGACATATCGGTTGGCTCATGAGCGCCTTCTCCACCCAAAAACTCAGGGATTACGTATCCCATCCTCGGCGGCAGGGTTATATAGCTCCTTCCCAGCCTGCTAACGAAGTGGTGGAAGTGACAGTTCTACCATCCGTTGGCGCGGCTGGAGAAGAGATTCGCATCATGCCACCAATGCCACAGTGCCACAGAACACGCAGGGCGCTCCACAGGACCAGGCCCCTGAAGCCACAAGAACTGGCTTGTTTGGATGCGGAAGTTCATAGTGTTCTAACAGAAGAGGCTGACATCTGGCAAATCAACACCGCCGTGTATAACGTCGTCCAATCGCTTTCCGAATCGGAAGGAAGAAATCCCGGCCTTGCGATTCGGAAGATTGAACGGCGTATACACAAGATGGAGGCTAAGATCACGTCGGCGAGACAACACGCGTCTCGTATCCAATGTGTGATGGACTACAGGGCGGCCGACAGGCCTTTCACGCCCGCAGTGCGGCGAATAGCCGCCAATCTACGACATATCCATCACACTTTAAGCCAAGGCGTGCTGCGACCACCAAACAGCACTGCCTTGATAGGATACGAATGCTAGTTGCTGTTAAGAAGTCACTAGTGAGGCAAGCGAGAAGTATCGCGGAAAACCGTGGGTTCCACAAATCTTCTCGCTTATTCCAAGAGCCTCCACGTGTTGTGGATAATCTGCCGACCGCTGATCAGGTGGAATCCTTCTGGAAGGATA